CACACACACACACACACACACACACACACACACACACACACACACACACACACACGCACGCACGCACACACACACACACCCACACGCACACGCACACGCACATGCACACGCGCACGCGCACGCGCACGCACAGGCACGCGCACGCGCACGCGCACGCGCACGCGCACGCGCACGCGCACGCGCACGCGCACGCGCACGCGGCGCGTGCGCACGTGCACGCGCACGCGCACGCAACCGCACACACGCACACGCACACGCAAACACGCACGCACCCACGCACACGCGCACATGCGCACACACACACAAACGCACACACACACAACAAACACACAACACACACATAACACACACGCACACACAACACACACACAAACACTCACACACACACTCTCACACACACACAAACACACACACAAACACACACACACACACACACAAACACACTTGGATCGGCTGTGTGCTTACTAGTGACTTAGCATGGTTATGATGGTTAGCTAACGACTTATAACAAGTTAGCTAAGTAGTTAACTAAGTGTTTCCTAAGTAGTTAGCTAAGCTTGAATATAGACTTTAGTCAGCACTCAAGCTGAAATATATAAGCCCGGGAAAGTTGCAAATTTCCTTAGTGAGCAGCCTTCGAAGCCTGACAAGCACATTGAGAACAATAGGAAAAGCCTATGAAGGCTGAGCCAGCCTGAAAAGGCTGACAGCCCCCCAAAGCTGAATGCCAGTGTGTAGCCTGAACAGGCTGACAGCACATGTCTCAAGCCTGAAAAGGCTGAGCCTGGCATGAGTCAACAAGACAGCAATAAGCCTGGAAAGGCTGACAGCCGATGCAAAAGCATTGCTGTTTTGCAAGTTGGCCCCGTCATGCATTTCACGGCCTGTGGGCCCAAGGCGCCAGCACCCTCAGCCCATCTTTGCTGGGGCAAAAGGCGACAGGTGTCAGCAAGTCTGCTGTTTGCACCAGAACCAGCTCACCTGTTTCTTTGACCAAGGCTGAGCAAGTCTTTGCACAGTATTCCACAAGAGTAAAGGGAGAAACAATACTGTACACAATACTGCCCACTTGGAAATGTAGGGAGATGGCTGCAACCTCCCAAGCTTGGCCCTGCTGGCTGCCAGCCATGAGCACAACATCCTTTGCCTGACAAGAAGCACCAGTTCGCAGCTTGGCTTGGTTGCCCACATGGATGCAGTCATCAGGCATTCCCATGCCCAAAGTCATGCGAATGCGCAGGGCCAGCTTCTTGTTGGCAGCGCGAGGCTTCGTTAGGCACGCACCCTGCTGCCACTGCTGGAACACTGCGCTGTGCTTCAGTGAGTGCAAATCATGCGCAAGGACCTCCTCCAAGATGCTTTGCTCATAGACAGACAAATTTGTGGTGGCAGTGGCATATCGGGAGCATACTTTGTGCTTTCTTTCCAGTGACCAGCAAGAGGGCAAAACGCCATGCAGCTGCAGTGATGTTGCTAGATGCAACAGCCAGTGAAACTTTCGTGTCATGTAATTGGACCAGCCAGCTTCCTTTGTTTTTCGCAATGCAAATTCCACTTGCTTTTGAAGGACGGGGGGAGCCACTCTGTCAGAAGCTTGTAGTAGCTCCAAGACCCGATTCATGCTGAGGAATGCTTGGCATTCCAGCACATGGCTGCCCTTGGGCACGAACACATGCGCGGCCAAAAAAGCAAGAAGAGGGCATAAGCTCAGTGTTTCTGACGCGCTGCACTTGAACTTCTTGGCTTCCTTGTAGCTTTTGACCTTCTTGCTTGAAAAGAGCTCAGGCAAGGAGCCAGCCTTTTGCCAAGTAGCCGGCAAGGTCCACAGCTTCAAGTAAGTCTCCATACTTTCCCAACCCAGTGTTGCACACAGCAGGTATATCATTACTTGCATAACCCCCTGTGAAGCCATTGCGTGCATCCAATCGTGGCACCACTGGCTGATTGGCTGCAAGACGTTCTGGTCCAACAGCTGTTTGCACAAAAAAAGGGAATGCTGGTTGTGTGTGACTCCACACGCCTGCTGCCAGTCATCAAATGCTCTCTTGCTCATGGCCGTCTGGTTGGCAGCACACCTCTGGTAAGCCTGTAGCACTTCCTGGTTTGTTGCAAGCTGACATTGTGAAAGGGTACACACATCAGACCCGAGCATGTCATTCTCATCCTCAAGTTCCTCTTGAAGAGGTGCTCTGACATTTCGGCACATCACGCAAAATTTGCTTCCTGAATCTCCTTTGCAGCTGTATATGTACTTCATTGCACTGCCATCAGCCAGGAACATTCCGAATTTGAAAAACAGCCTGATGTTCTGGCAGCTCTCTCCAGACTCATGCTTCAACAGGAGGCCAAGGCGTGGCTGGGCAATTTCTTTACAGAAAAACTGCTGAAGAACCAGTGCCATGATTTGGCTCATGTTAGCCTGCACAGTGTGGGCAGTAGAAGACCTCACACACCCCAGTAAGAACCAGTTGTCTTCTGAGGCCAGGAGCTGCTTCAGCTGAAGGAATGAGCCATATATCACCCAAGCTTTCCTCTCCTTGATAGCCCTCCCAG